CTGTCTCATGTTCTCTTCCCACATGTCGGCTTCGACTGAATCACATCTCACTTTCATTTCAGTGGACTTTTTGCATCATGCGCACATTTCCTCCTAAGAGTAACTAACTGCATGTACTGTACATGCACCTCCAGATTGTCTGTCTTGTCAGTTACGCTGTTGGGCAGTGATAATTAGCCTTCGTGTCGTGTCTGCCATTTCTGTGATGTCTGTCAAGACATAGTGTTATTACATCTGTAATATACTTGTGTTTCCTCCCAAATATGACTTCAAGACTATGACTAACTCAAGAAATCCTCACCACTGTTATGTAGTCACTGCAAATGCCATCAATGCGACGTGGATTTTTTTTCCTCATCCGTAGCCTTTCATTTATTTCTACTCTCAATCAATCATCCACCTGCAAATCGAAAATGATACAGGTGCAATGCAGGAAATGGCCGCATTTCAGTTTGTCTTTATTTTGAAAGGATATTCTGAGAAGAACACTCTCTTGTGATGGCATTGTTCAGTGACAGCTTGACACTGTGCCTGTGTCCCTATCGACTTGATTAGGTGCGGGTAATTTGTGTTTGTGCTGTCGTTACGCGCTCAAATCGCAAGGGAGGTGGGGGGGACTGAGATGGGCGTGACTTGGCATCCTGATGTCCAATTACCCTTGGCATCCATTGTACATCCTCTGCCTCCCACAGGATGGGTCTGAGGGGCTCAAGTTACTCCATCAAAGGATGGTGCATAATGTGTGGGATGTAAGGAGACAGTTGATGTGCTCCCCCCCTGCATCTTGATCTCTGATACTGGTGCAAATCTTCTGTTCAAATAGAGCATGATTCTTGGCTGTCTTGTACACACACACTGCTTATCTTGCTTAATTTCAGCAAATGTGGAGAATGGTGGGGCTTTACATCGCTTGACCCCCCCAAAAAAAACCCAAGTACATGTATTTTGCTGTTTCGTCTTCTCTTGGTCCAATAAGGACTGTGTAGTTCATACTTGTTATTTGGTTTGGTCATTTTTGTTTGTTTGTTTTTTTTTTCCACTTCTAACTTAGTTCAAATTCAGTAAGCACTGTGTTGGTAATGCTTTCTAAGAGTCAGTTACAACTTTCATTTTCAATTTAATCACCAGATTCATGTTTTTGCAACATGGGACATTTTTCAGTAAAATGCTTTGAAAAGTACTCGTTTTGTAACTTCATGGGGAGGAGGGGAGTGTCTGCATGTTTGATGCACCTGAACCAACCAAAATTGTTCTAAAGATGTCATGGTTTGCTGCAGTCGGGGAAAAACTACAAAGAATCATTTTCACTGATTTAGTTGGTTTTTATATTAAAGATGCAATTTGGGATGGTATCCATGAATAAATCTTTACCTCCAGAATAAAAAAGAATTCCTCAAAACAGCTTCCAGTTGTCTTTTTATCTCCACTTGAGGGAGCAGAATCTTTAAGTCACGCATCAAGCCTCATCCATAAAATGCATGAAGAGGATCAAAGAAGACATTGATGAATCAATGGATCGCTGCATCTCCAAAGCCATTCAAGTTGCAGGGGGGTGCTGCAAAGCTCTGGCATTCGCTCGTACTGCCACTCCATGAAAGCCACGGTTGTACATGCCTGTGTGGGTGCATGTACAATGTACCCTTTACCTCGTTTATAATTGTTCGAGTGACAGTGATGCATAGGCCCTTCTTTACAGGGGGAAAATTAGCACATTCAGAATTCAGAACTGCATTTTAGTACTGCTTGGTTTTTGTATGCGCAGAACTCGTTCCCTGCATCTTGTACAGTTTTTACAACTCAAAACTAAATTACTGTAGCAAAAGTAAAATGACAAGGTGTGTTTTTTTATGTTTGCCAGTTGACGTGAAAGAAGCCAGCAGGTTAAAGCGAAGTTGTCAGATATGTGTGGACTTCAGCAAGATGAAAACAATTAAAGTTTCATGCCGCTTGTCACCAATAAGTTATCACATGAAAAAAGACCAGTTTGGTCGTCAGACCCTCAGCCAGTTGATCATAAATTCTTCAGCATGTACATGTAGGTTGTAGGTGACGTGTACTCGCAAAACACTTTTTAACCATTCTGGGAGGGGGAGATCAGGGATTAAAAATTGAAAAGTTAGGCAGGCAGCCATAGAAATTAGGAGAAACTTGTCAGGGGGGGGGGAGAATGTCATTCTGTGCAGCTGTTGCCTTTTTTGTGTAGGTGGGTGTGATTGGTCAAGCCAGAACACCTGAAGCAGGGGGTTTTCTGCCTAGCGTGCAGAGAATGTACTTACGGTAGTCTTCGGGGGTTGTCATTGATTCTGTATTGTGAGAGCCTTGACAACAACAGCGGAATGGAATAAAGATTGGAAAGCTGAGGGGACGGGGGGAAATCAATACGCAAGGAGATTGCGCCATGCAGGGGCAAGCGAAAGGATGTTGCATACTTGTAGGTTGGAGCTTACCAGCTGATGCAGGTGTGTAAAATACAAACCAGCAACAAGGCCTCGTCAGTACAGAAAAATTCTGAATTTGATAATAAATCAAAGCTTGTGCTAGCATCACAGTTCATTTTACTGCCGCCCCAAACCTCTCCAATGTCTAGCATTTTAGACCTTAAAAACACCGTAGACCCCAGTGCCCCATATTTATGAATGTCCAAATAGTGTACCGTTGAATTAGGGCTGAATCAATTGAAATCATGCAGTACTTAAAAATTTCCTTTTAATTGAACTCTGACGTATTCAGTCACACTAGTAGGATCTGAAAGTTGACACAACATGGCAATCACAAAACTGCATATTATAATCATTACAACAGGGTCTGAGTTTTCGTGAATACCACAGCTAGCTTCCACGACATTTTTTGTTATCAGAATCCTGTTTCTTTCCCGTTTGATTTGAAATTGGCTCGAGTCTTAAACTTAGATGTAACCATCGCGCAACATCACTCTATCCTTGTTTTTAGACTCTTTCCCATTTTTTGAGATTCTAAACAAAGTCTTGAGAATTAATTCTTCTGCAGCAGTTCTGTTCTCGTGTTTTTCTTCAACCCTTTTTATTTTCTTGTATTTTTATTGGGGGAGGGTTTGTAAACATTGAAGGGGGAAGAGATTTTCATCGTGCGTTAGAAATCACCTGATGCAAAAACCTTGGCCTGCCCAAAAACCTTGGCTTGCCCCTGCCGCTAGAAATATCATAACATTTAATCACAGACAAGTAAAAGGTTTTTTTCTTTTTTCAAAAAAGGAAGAACAAAATTCTCACCTCACATGACATGGTCGGCCACTCGGGCATTCAGCAAGGTGTTAAAAAAAAAGATGCGGCCAGCTAGGCTGTCATTATGCGTAACACGTTCCTAGAGACTAATCATTTACATTTGCCTAAGCACAGCAGGGATGCTCGGCTTACAAGTAATTAATCCCTGTACGCCAGCAGCACTGGAATATTTTGACGTGGTGCTGGGTGTACATCAATTGAAATTGCTGGGAAAAAGGTGGCTGATTTTGACAAATAGAGTGAATCCAAATTTTGTTACTTGTAAGCTTCCTGTTTACTCATTCCCCCCCCCCATTTTGGGGCGGGTAAATACCACTTTCAAATGACGTTTTGTAAGTTGTACATGTAATTTTGTATTTTGTAAGGGTATCAAAATTTCTGAAAATTGTTTTTAAATGAACATACAATCCATATAGCCAGTAACTGTAACAGGCCTTGATTGATATGAGAAGGATTAAGGACTGTTTGAGTCTAATAACAAATGCTCCTAAGTTCATGCAAAATGCATGTAAAAATGATCCAGTGTTGAATTGAATGTGGGAAAAGGAACGAACATGACATAATACACTCACGAGAGTGCATTCTGTGGCATTAAGACAGTGTGACAGAGTGCAATATCTTGTCATGGACAGCGTACAAAGTCTGTCTTTCTCTCCCTTTCAATCTGTCTTCATTCCCACAAATTGAATTCTGGCTTCCTGTTGAATGCTGCCGAGGGGATTAAGTCCTCACTCCCCCGTCCAGTCAGGCGGCAAACCCGCTTCAGAATCGTGACTCCTCATCCCCCGTCACACACCTGTAGTTGTCATATTCATCGGACAGCACTTTTCTGAGCGAGGTGAAAGCGTCCAAGCTGGCAATTTCTATCACTTAGGAACCTTCCCCGTTTAGAGGAGTATTAAAACCGAAGGTGGATTTGGAGGATGGGGTGAGGGAGTGGAGCCCAATGTAATTTTGAACTTTGACAGGACCAAAAAAGAGAACAGGAGAGAAATGAAGCCAAGATTTGAAAGCAGCTGTCAGACCCCCCAACCACGTATGGACCTTCCTTTGCAATGTCTTGTTTCTTCAAAGCTTCAAATATCACTGATATAATGAGGTTTAAGAAAATTGACATTTCTATTTCACCAAGTCACAGCGTGCTTAGATTGAATTGCCGTAATAAGCCCAAATTCTACATGGATGAAGCGCATCTAGCGCGTCTTTCATCACGCCTCAGTCTTGTTTGTCTGAGTCATGTTAACGTGTATATTATCTTGCCTTGACATTCTGGTCTGACTGCATCACCCAAGGACTATGCGAGGTGATTTCATGATTACATCTGGTCACGAATAGTGCCAAGTATTGCTGTTCCACAACCATATAGTGCTGCATATTTCTCTTTAAAAAAGCCACATGTTTAGTACTTCTGTCTCATTTTTTCTTTGATCATTCTGACTTTGGATTCCACAAGTTTTTCCATACCCTAATTAGATTTCATTGTAGCCCAGTCACAGTTCTCATTGTCTGGCACCCAGTCTTCTTTTGAATCATGTGTATGTGCACTAATACAATCTCAAATAGTCTCTGTACATGTAGGTCCATCTTGTTCTGTCCTTTACATCCATATGGTGGTGGGTTACCTAACGCATAATCCTGCAGTATTCCATACGCTTTCCTGCGGTTCTTCTTGTAATAGTTTTGTAAGTGGTAAACCTTTAGACTGACGTTTTTCTCTTTTTTGTTTTCTATGTGTGACAGCTCGTGGGCCACATGATGAAACAGCTCTCACCAAAGGTATCATCTACCCAGCTGCGTATCTGGGGTCAACGCAGCTGGTCACCACCAAGCAGCCCACCAAGAAAGTCCGCATGCAACAGGCGCAGGAGGCTGTCAACAGAATTAAGGTCAATATTCAACTGTAGTATGTGGTTGGCTAGCTGGTTGGTTGGCGGGTGGATGGGTAAGCTAGCTGGCTGGTTGGTGGGCTGTCTAGCTGGCTGGCTGGTTGGCGGGCAGGCTGGCAGGCTTGCTTTCTGGTTGACCAGTTGGTTGGCTAGATGACATGGTTTGGTGGGTTGGCTGACTTGTTGGCTTGCCGGCTAGCTTGCTAGTTGACCAGTTGGTACAGTTGGTGGGTGGGAGAGGGGGCTGGCTGGCTGACTGACTGACTGACAGACTGACTAGTTGACTGGCTGGCTGGATACCTGGCTGGCTATTTTGGGTGGCTGAGTGGCTTGCTCGGTAGCTAGCAGACTGAACTATTTACTATTACTACAATTTACATGTAGATGGTAATCCGGCTGGCTGGCCAGAAGGCAGACCATTCATATCCAGCAAGCCATATATAGTCAGTGCATTGTTGAATTGCTGGCTGGCTGACTCGTTGGTTGGCTAACTGGCTTCCTAACCGACAGGTTGAGAGATGAGCTTTCAGCTACTCTGACATACATGTACGTAGATAGGCTTGGGTTTGTTAGGAACATTCAGGTGGGAATGCCACCTGTTGCCTGTTGGTTCCAGGAAAGCTGTTTAACATGTTCCCAGTAAGAGTAACTTTAAAACATCTGGTTTCCCAAAAGACTGATCCATGGAGCACTCTCCTATGGTATCTTGACCAATCACAGCAGTGATAGCAACACTGAAAGGTTTGACAGAAATCTGACGCGCATGTACACTTATTTGCCTTGGTATGCGCATTTGGAATATGCAGTGGAACATCGGAGAAGTGCATATGTGCACCTGCACAGTGGGTACAGCTTGGAAGGATCTCCCTGTTGGCAGTGCTGATCTTTTCCAGAGTGTGTTTTATTGGGAACAGCTACGTAGAGTTCTCATTGTGACCACTGTGGGAACTTTTGCCTGAGACAAGACCGCACTCCTTAAAACCCTCCTTTTGCTGAAACCGTCAAAAACAGTCAAAAATTCCTTCCTCTTGATTTTCCCTAGTACACAGACACATATGGGAAATTTGACTGATAGGACAACTATGTCAAGATTGTGTCTTTGCATAGGAGGGTTAAAGAAGTTTACCCCATTGGAACAGAGTGTTTTTGGCTCCTGAGAGTTTGAACACAGCAAATTAGGAGTAGTTAGCTGATTGGCCTTGGGTAATGAGAAAAGGGAAGACAGACATGGTGGGTACTTGTTTCTGTTTGTTTGGTTTTTTTTTCAGTTGTTTTGATGTACTTAAGTACTTATGTACTAATGTAAATGTTTTGGTGTCTCTACTGTGAGTGTAGCTTCTTTGTGGTTTTATTTGTGTGTGTATGTGTGTGTTTTTTTTACCTTTACCCTGTTTAATCAAGGAGAATGAGTCCACCAGAAATGCTCCACTAGATTATTTGGACCCAGAAGAGCAAATATTTATCGCGGCGAGCCACTAAGTGCGCAGGCATGTACTGCCAGGCAGAAGCCAAGCGTTCCGTCAATAGGCATGATTGATGGTACCAGATTGAGTCATTACAGCAAGGCATGCAATGTTCTGAACCCTATTCCCCCTCTCCTTTAGTAACAGCTCCTTATACCCATATCCACGTGCTCAGCTCTCTCCATCAAGTCATACGTACATGTGCGCGAACATGCAGGTCAAGAATTGGATGGGACATGCATATGTTAATCATTAATGTGTAGATCAACTCATCTCCACAGCTGTTTCACGTTTGTACTTTCTTCTCTCTTTCTCTCAGGTTGTGATCATAAATTAACATAACTTTTCTCCATTTTAAACTATTGCAAACAGTATTCAGTTTCCCCTCGACACCTTTTCTGTCTGTCTCCCTTTGGTTCTCTGTACATGTGTTTATTGTAGGGATTTTCTCAAGGTTTTTATCGTCCATTTCTGTTTTTCATTGGTGGGTCTCAAGAAGTATCTTCTGGTGTCCTTGAAATAAACTCTAACATCTCCTGTCTTATGTCAAATTCATCTTGTGAAAAAGTGAATAGAAATGTGTCCTGAACATGGTAACCTAGTTGTGTCAATTACCCAGTTTACCAAGGTTGGAATTTGAGGAGGCCCTGCTTGAATAACCAAGCTGGCACTGACGATTTATGAGTTAATATATCTGCAGTGTATAAACTCTTCACTTTTTGAGCTACGAAGGTTCTGCAAGCATGGATTGCCTTGATAAACATTCTGTCGCCAATGTTACAAAAATACTGTCTTCTTAGTATTGAATTACAGGGACGGGCGTGCTTTTTATTTGAAATATTTCCTGATTCCGAGAAATTAAAGGGTCCATGTGATGATTTTTTTCCTAATGTGTTTGCACATCTATTTGATATCCTTGACTGATCAAGCGTAAAGAAAAAGTGCATTGTTTAAAACATTTCAAATTGTCCATGCTCTTCTGGACAACTGAGGGCGCTGTTGATGTGATGTCATCCAAGGAAGACACTGTTCAATTTGTAGGTTTTCTGTTTAGACTGTGAACCCAAATCTACTCACTGAAAACATTTCTGAGAAACTGTTGCTCATTGGCTCCCTGTCACAACAATGAATTATCCAAAAAAAAAGGAAATTTCAGACTGCAAGATTTCAAAAAAATTCAGCAGTTTCTGGGCATAAATCATTGCAGTACATTTGCTGTGGAATAACATTGCCATTTTGCTCACAAGTATGGAAATTTGTGTAAGCTTAAAGCCAAAAACTCACCGAAATACCTATCAAAATTGCAATACAAAGTTTGAAAATAAGGTTAATAGAAGTGCAAAGGTGCATATTCAAGGTTGGAGCGAAAACATTTGCAGATCATGGACCTTCAGTGGGGCTGTCATTGTTACACATAGATATTTCATTCAGTGACATGTACCACATCATATGCATCCTGCATTGTGGAGAGGGGCCAGTGTCATGGAGGTTGGTAAGCCTATAATCTAACTGCAGAGAAAAATGTTGACCTAAGAACACAGGTTACTAGTCCAAAGTGGTGATGAGCATAAAGTTTTGTCGGATGAGTCACATGTATTCACATCATATGGCTTGTGTAACGAGAATTTTCTCTAAATATTGTTACGCTTAGAAGATCAATGAATTTGCTCCCAGAGTGCTTTTCTCAGAGTTGTAATGACACAAGTCAATGACTCGACTCGAGTCCTGACTCGATTTTTGGTGACCCGACTCGAGTCCCAACGGGTAAGTGACTCGACTTGAGTGTCTGCGACCAAATGACTTTACTCGAATCTTTCATGGAGACTCAACTCAAGTACAAGCTTATAAGACTAAAGTCTCAAAAAATTAAAAGGAAAATTTTAGTTTGCTAGATACCTGTCATCTTAATTTATTTTCAGTATGTCGAAATGAAAATTGTACAAAAATTTGTCACTCAAATTGATTCTAGCTCGGTACTTGACTAAACTACACAAAGTAACTGGACTCGATTTCTTCGCCTTAATGACTCAACTCGAGTCACAATGTTAAAAAGACTCGACTCAGGTTACCAAATTCAGTGACAACACTGGCCCCTCCGTGAATTTTTCTCTTGTGTTTTGCACACTGGTACAACCATCTCAGCCCACAGTGTATTTGTTTCTGCCATATGTAGACTCCTGAGAATTTAAAGTTCTGGGAACCACTGTGCCATTCCATTGAGGATGCATCATACATGTTTCAAAATCAAAGTTCTGGTCATGTTCACAATGGAAAACTTCTGAAGTTCCCTTCGCAGCCTTAACATTTTAGTTGTGGTAGATGTTGAATTGACTCTTACAAGTTTGGTCTCTGTTGATAATGATGCTAATTTTATTTCACTGCCATAACAATTCTTATATTCTCTTCAGACTCGCACGCGGTGGCAGGAACTGTGCTGTCAGTGTTGGATTGTACGAACGTTCAACTCTATCAAAGCTGTTAACAAAATTTAATGTTTCTTATATTTGTCTGTGAAGAAACTGATGTGATGTCTTCTTTTCTTACATCCCTACCTCCCCATGCTAAATAGACGCGTATTCGGAGAAGATGGAATAAGGTGGCGTTTTCCGAGCTCTCTGGATGTTTTGGTGTATAGTCTAAAAAAAGCTGCAATTCTTTTGTTTTTTTTTCTTTCTTGATGGTTTGTGATTGTGATGGTGGTGGTGATGGTGACACTTCACTTGTGGTTTTCCTTTCTACTTTTAGAATACTCTGAAAATTCCCACGCATCCTGTGCTGTCAATGTGCTCTCTTTTGTTTCGGTGACTTTTTGTTTCAAGTCTGCTTTTTGGGTTGCTGTACTCGTTTTCAAAGTAATACTCCTCCAACAACAATTTCAAAATGGCATTTATATTGTAGCTCTTCCTTTGTTTAGTGTGCTGATATTTCTCTACTATGTTCTCGATGACTCTAAGGTGGATCCCCATATCAGTCTCTGGAGGTTTTGAATTGCTCAGAACCAGTTTGTTTTTTCCTTCATTTCTTCTTTTCCTGATAGGCACATTTCACTCTGTCCATTGCACGTACATGCATACCATAGGTTTTGAATGGAGTTTAGTGTTTGCTATGTTGGTCAGTTGTGCATCATACCATGCCGCTTGAACATGTGACAATTTATGTCACCAACTGAGCAGATCATTTTTCCCACTATTATCAATGTACCAGTACGTTTGTGTATGTGTAGATGTTTACATGTTCATTCATTCTATGCATGTGAATGAATACTGGCCCCCTGCTCATTGTACCCTCATACAGCCCCTGATTACAGCAGATGCAGCGTTGTAGCCGTGGTTGAGACATCCACAAAGGTTCAGAACTTATAAAAGTGCACGGTATACAGTACATGTAACTGGCCAGAACTTCCTCCATTGCTGGTGGCTGTGAACCAGTTCGGTATTCCAACAGCGCCAGCCAGGTTTGTCCAAGGCCTGTCCTCTCAGCGCAACCCTGTGTAGATTTGTGCGCCTGCTTGTTGCCAAATGACTGTGCTTTGTTGAAATACCCAACTGGCTCATGCTGAATGTACATGTACACTGATCACTTGCAAGTGATGGCTCATTTTGCTAGTGGCTGTGGCTATTGATAATAACTGTTGCTAAGAGTCAAAGCCATAGCCACAGCCACACAGTAGGGAGTTGATATGCCAATACCATATATAGCTGTGCATGCTTGATACGTTAAAGTGATGTTTTCTGTGTGTTTGTTCCTTTTTTTGTGTGAATAATTGTAGTTATTTCATCAAATCCTGACACCCCAAGAAGAAGGGGCTGATACCGAGTTTGTGGTGAAAACGGCAATAGTGAGCCCAATTGATCTCTTTGCACAGTGTTTGCATCAAGGCATTTGGAACAGTTTCTTTCGTTCATTTTTTGCAAGGAAGATTTTACATGAACAGCCTTGCCCGAGATGCATGCAGTAAAACAGAATGGCCTGGGGAGAAAAAGATGAAGATTTGAAACAATTCATGCATTTGTTTGTCACACTTTGACTCGTGTCCAGTGATACGCTCCAGCATGTTGTCATATCATGTTGCAATTTTGCTTTCAACCGAAAGAAATGGAAGAGAGTTACCGTGCATAAAAAAGACATGGCTGTAATGCAGTGTACAATTACAAAGATCTGTCAAAGAGGGCGCATCTCAAGGTTCTAAAGCAACAGGATTACAAAAGGGGAATAATCAGTCTCTTCGTTATCCAGAAATTATGAATTCTCCCAAATTTCAGTTTTTAGGGCTGATCATGTAGCTTCTCTAATTTCTGAAATAATTCCATCTAGTGTGAGAGAAAACTTGAGATTACTGTCAAAATGGCGGTAAAAACAAACCGTAAATGTAATGAACATAATGGGGTTTTTTCCCAGTGATTTATATGATCACTTTAAGAACAGTGCAATTTGGGCACCACCAGATACTTATTTTAACCCAGAATTGAAAATGTTTTTGTTTGTAGATCTTCATATCGCTTCTTTCTTAAGTCGAAGGGCAGGAATGACTTTTCATCTGTGTTTGTCAAAAATTCAAAACTATTGTATTCAATTGTTCAAATAACAAGCGTTATTTTTTTATATTAATCGTCACTTTGCATTACTGTCTCCCACATAAACACACTGATCGCTGTCACGATTCATCCAGATGTTTTTAGTACCACGTTTAGATTAATTCCATTTCTGTTTTCTCGAACCGGCTTCCCTCATGGGCCCTCCACTGCTCAGCGGTGACAATTACTGAAGAGGGCACCAGGGAAATCTTGAGAATGAAGATGGAAAAAAAAATTCATGATGCATTTGGCATTTGTGGACGCAGCATAATTGCCCATATGTGTTTGTGCATGTGCATGATGGCCCCCCAAAAGCTGAAGTGTTTCTCAGCCGTTGCTGGCTGTGGTTAATGGCATCCCAAATGTACTGAGTCATAACGACAGTGCATGCCTGCCTGACGCTGTGCTGGCAAATTGCTGTGGTAATATTGTGTTTTGCCTGTAGCACATTACTAATCAGGACTCATAGAACGCATTCATCTGGACTAGCCCAGTCATCTTCCGTTCATTAGTCTGTCTACCTGAAACACAATCAGGGGAAAGTTGTGGCAACAGACATAAATAATGTAGCTATCAGAAACTTTAGATAAACAGAAGCTGGAAATTTGCTGTTTTGCAGGGTTCATTTCATTTCCATGCAAAATGGAAGGATTTTTTTTTTTTGCAGAAACTACATGGAGAGTTGAACAGATCAGAGGGAAAATTGAGAATCAAAAGTCAGATGCAGGAAAGGCGATCATTTAACATTGGAAAACTGATACATGTATACAGTACTCTGAAAAAGTAATGGGGCGGATGTCCTTTGATGCACTTTTGGTCGTTTTCTAGGAAATTTGAAAACTGGATTGGCCTCAGGTTGTAAACGGCTTGCCAATAATGAGATGTTTGTTCTGTTTCTGGTGTGCATTTTAGAAACAAGTGAGCGTTGTGACTACCACACTTGGCCACAGTCAACCTAGAGCATTCTTAGCTTTTGCAGACAAAGTACATGTATATATTCCATCATTGCCTGTGCTGCATGTGTAATTTATCAGAGGCTGATGTAACATTTCAGACTATCAAGAAAAGGCAACTAGCAAACCAAATATAACAGCAAAACCTTAAAATTAGTAAAATGTATGTTGCTTTGGCTGGTTGGTGTGTAAAGGTTTGCTGTGAAATTAAGCTACTCAAAACGTTTTTCCCCTCCAAGTAATCCCTCGCCCCAAACAGCATTGAAACAGCTGAGGCTGAGCGGGGAAAGCAAACGTCAGGCATGACTCTCATGTGTCGCCCTACTAAACATTTTGATATCTTTTTGTATCTTTTTGATACTAACATGATAGACATTGGATACCCCTTCCTGTGGTGAAGCACATCTTTCATCCCAACCACTCTCCCCTAACTATGGCTGATGTAGTCACCATTACCACCACTACTGCCACATTCACTACCGTCACCACCACCACCTTTTCACCACCAGTCCACCACCACCTTATTTATCACTTTTATCTCAAATTATTTACACACAATCCAAAATCATGTTCATTTTGATGTAATAAGTTGACCGAACATTCGCCCACACTGCCCACGCTAGTGTCTACTAGAGTAGAAGCCATATGTTCAGATGTTTAATTTGACAAAGAAAGCATTTTCATGATTATTGATGACATATGTTACTTTTTTTGTCCTCTCTTTTTTTTTTTTTGGCTTATGCTCTCATGTTCAGATTGTTTTTAGTTTATTTTTAGCTGGTTTCAGGTAGCTTGATGTCGTCTTGCCTTGATAGGAAATCAGTCACCTTCTTCTTGTGATTCAGCACTTTTCAAACATGCTCGCACAAACTGATTGTAATTGTACAGTTTTTTAGGGGGGGCATTCATATAATGCACATTTTGTTAATTTTCATGTGGACTTACGGTAAATAACTATTTCATGGAAAATAATGGTTCTCTTTATATTGGACATTTAACATGTGCACTCAAAGTTCAGTACACCTGACAGTTAGGATGGCATTATTAACGCCCTTTGTGCATGTACATGTATATGGAATATAAAATATAAGCAGCCTCTGTATTGACCACACATTACTTCACCCAAGTGTTGTTCAGTCACCTCACTACGTGTAGGGTCCTTGTCTTTTTTAAAATTTTTACCCACCAGCATACCCAAAAGTGATTCCTATGAAACAAACAGATAAAAGTGATGTGAGTAGCTATACTGTTGAACACCTGACCTGACATGTATCTCACAGTGCCAAATCATCGCCGAATTCAATGTCTTTGTTGATCAGTAAGTTAGGTATTAGTTTCAGTCTGTCCTGACTCCACACCAACCCTACATGCTAAGTCCTGACTCCACACCAACCCTACATGCTAAGTCATCACCTTACTGACAAGGGTCCTAGTTAAACAGTCAAGGAATACAACTCACTGTCCTCAAGGTTTTACTGGATTAAGTACCGTATTCATCGTAATGCGTAAGTTGCATTGTGCATGGCAGTACCAATTCTTTTTCCAATCAAGAGGTTTTCTTCAGATTGATATGATTTACCTAATGCATCTTGACGGTTATCAGGCTGGATGAGGAATTATCACCTTGAGGAATTCACTTTCCTCAGAGCACTGCAGGAGGCAACTTGACAGTGTGGTGCTGTATTTATTTTGTGCTATTTATTTGATCTGAGCCAACTTTTTTGTGTGTGTGGTCATGTTTCCAGGCCCCAGAAGGTGAGGAGCAGCCCAGCACAGAGGTGGACCTGTCTATCTCCAACGAGAAGATCAAAGTCCTCAATGCAGACACACAGGTCGGGTCCAAGTTCACTCTTGTAAAATGTCCAAGTTCACTGAAATGGTGAAAGACAATCTTCCAGGAAAAAAAAAAGTCGAGGATGGTTTCACCCTTGCCTCCCGGATTCCTTGAAATCCACCAGGATGTACAATGTAACAGAGAAATTTGGAGGATGGTATACAGCTATTGACTATTTTGAGTGGTGTTGTATAACTAGCCTTCTGAGGTGATCCATAGAGCAGTCTTATTTTTCCCGAGGCCAAGCTGAGGGAAAGTAGCATGATCCAGGGATCACCAAGGGAAGCTGATGCTAATGCCCAGTGAGTTAAAGCAGTCAGTATGTGTTTTCTAACACCTCTCCCACAGATTCTGCTCAATTTAAGCAATAACTGATTCATTTAACCTAAATACAACTAAAAATGTGCTTGTATTTGAATATGGAACGTGTTGAGATTTCAATAGCATTTTTCCACAGTGGCTCTGCATGAAATGGTTGAGCACAGCTCAGTATTACTAGCACTTGAGAATGCCCTCAATGCCTACAACCATTTGCATACAGCACCACTTGTTACATGTATGGCACTTTGATTGCTTGGTACTTTTGTTGCTTCAGATATTGTACTCTTGGCCGTGCACAATAAGGTAGAAAACAAGCAAATGACTTGTGACCAGCTCGTTGCCACTCAAGATGCAGCATCTGTGGGTGAGGTGTTATAAAAGAAGGCAGACTCTAGTCACTGCTACTTTACACAAGACACTCTATTCCTTGCAAATTAAACAGAGAATGTGCCATTTGATATCTCCACAGTAGTGCTGCAGTTTGTCAAGATTAATGCAACTTAAGCCTGTCTCATACCTTAGCTGTGAACCGTTAAAGCAAGCACCCTCCGGTTGTGGCCCAACCGTACCAAATGAGCCACAAATCGCCAGAAGCAGCAAAGAAAACTTTCTGAATGGAAATCAATAGGAAATGTCGATGTTTTCTCCCACGTGCCATCTGCATTTATTAGCATGCCACTCTGAGTGACACAAAGAGCTGAGAAATTTCTCTCTGTTGCTTATGAAGACAAACACTTGAAAAGAATATCTGCTCGAGGCTCATTCTGTGGGGTGGGAGGGGGCGGGGCAGTCCAGTAACATTTATCACACCCTTTCAGCCACCTTGTGTTATTGCCGGTTTATCATAACTGAACCTCAGAACCGCCTGAATCTTCCACACAGCAACAACCAAAAAAAAAAAATGAGAGAATCCCAGTATTGAAGGACTGTGGGCAGATTGTGCTCACAGACGTACATAAATTGTAGAGAGGGTGACCAATTGGGTAGAAGAACTGTCGAAGTGTTCCTGACCCGCTGTTTACTGTTCATATACGGCACCCACTGATGCTGAAGTTGTAACCATCCACTTTGCACCCTCATTGAGGCATGTGTTTATCTCACATCAGCACAGGTAAATGGCGCAGCAGTAATGGTTTTCAGGCCCATTCAGTAGGAAATTGGACACACATGTATACAGTGTGCCCCATCCATAGTTTTCTTGTGGACAGCTCCCAGCATGTTTGGTCATGGCAACAGTGCCTGCCTATTAGTCTTTCCACTTTTGCTTCCATCTTGAAAACATATTGAGACTGTGGAGTGATAAGGGAAAAAGGTATTTGTTGCAGTATCCCACCCTCTTTCTGTTCTTTGAGCCCCATATTGCTTTGTATTACAACATCTCACCCAACTTATAGTAAATATGGAAACTTAGTTAATGTGGAAAGAGCCGATACTAGCTGGTATGTACATTCAGGGAGTTTTTGGTGCATTTTTAACTGGAAATGTCACACAAGATATCTTTTTGTCCGCAACTCAGATTCAGCAAAGAAATGAAAAAACAAACAAAATTTGCAATACCAGTCATGAGCAATGCAAATCACTTGACGTTTTTGGCTGGTAACCTAAAGCAGATGAGTTTTTCCATTAAGCAGCAAGTTAAAGTTTTTGCTTATTATGAAATACTAAAAATAACAGCACCAAGTTTGCCTTTTAATACTTAGTTTTTTCACTGTATTGGTTTATTAAGTTGTGTTTATCTTCATGAAACCCATTGAAACAGTCTTGAGGCAGCCAGGAGAGGATGGGGTTGTGAAAGGTACCAACATGGCACTTATCATATTTTGAAAATAAATTCTTCAAATGGTTTCAGTGTTGGGCCCGTTTTTGTGTTTAGCTTCTCTTTGGCATCAGGCCCAGATATGAATCATCAGTTGTTTGTCTGTGCCTCCACAAATAGGGGTAATTTTGGGAATCTTTTGTTCATTGGACAGGAGACGATGATGGACCACCCCCTGAAGACGATCTCCTACATCGCGGACATCGGCAACATTGTGGTCATCATGGCCAGACGGCGAGTGACCAGGACGCTGGACGAAGCCATGGAGGACAGCGGCATGATGGTGGACTCGGAGGGCAGACGACAGCCCCGCAAGATCATCTGCCATGTCTTTGAGACGGAGGACGTGAGTAGAGCTCCTACCTTACGTCTTAAAACATATATCCCACGGCAAGTTCAGGTGCTAAGTTTACTCGTTCATTTCACTAGACCACTAGTCAAAAGCACGGGAAGCAACATGCTAACATCAGACGGAAACGTTGCATTAAGAAGTAGGCGCGACACTCGAAGTATCCATACACGAGAGAGCATTGGAACGTCTCTGAAAAAATTGCCATTAGAAATGCATGTGGTGCAACATTTCTGCCCTGATGTGCATACATTTTTGGTCACCGTGAAGCTTGGCATAAAACAAATCAGCATCTGAGCTTGCTCTAGAGTTAGAGGCTCCCTTTTCCTAAATGCTTTTCTATATTTAGTCCACTGATTGCTTGTGTCCAGATCTTGCGTTCCTCTCATTTTCTTTTTGATAGGACCTGTTGATAGCTCCCCGCAGTATTGTGCTTGAGTACTTTCTGTCATCAAGTACTGATCAGCTTATTGAAAATGCCACATGAGAAACACTGACAGTAGATAAGAAATCAACTTAGCAGTAGAGAAAAAACAATAAAAATTATAAGACTCTGGACAATTGAAAATACTTTTATTTTGGGAATGAGAAGGGAAGTGGATTAGATGATTCACATGATACTCAGTTTTTTACCTTAACAGAAAAGAGAGATAAAAACAGCGGAAATGAGTCGTGTAGTTGTTTCCCCAGTGTTTGGATGAACTACTTTTAGTGTCTGTTGGCTACAAGGCAGCTGCTATTTCAATTTGGTCTCCTCCAAGCATTCTCTTGGCGGCTTCATTTGAAACAAACACCTGTTCAAACACAGCCTGTGGCCAGTGTCTCCATCAAGGGCTGCAAGAATTTTCTCCTTTAACCAGTTTCCTTTTTTTTTCCCCCACTGGACCTGTTGTGTTAGAGTGTAAACACGAATGTCCTGCAACATGCTGTCACAACAGAGATGCGCCCAAGTTGTCAACAGAGAGAATATTGGCCCAGAAACTGGAAAGTGATAGTGTGTCATCTTGAGAGTGATGTTGTCCACCTGAGTAGGATTGCATTGCAGTAATTTTGGCTTGTGTGGGCTTGCCAAGAATTGTATTATACTGACGCTGGTTTCCTTTCTTTTGGCCATGCAGTTCTATCATGAAAGAAATATTATTTCAGCTTTGTACAGTACAGCCCATGCAGCTATTGAGACAGATCAAAGTACTGTCATTTTCAGAAGATAAGCCGTGGCTTATATGTTGATTCTCACTCTGAAAAATGTCTCTGCGGCTTATACCCCGGGCAGCTTACACGGCAAACTTTAAAGGATAAAATCAGTCACAAAAGCCGAACCCGTAGCCACGCATACCACATGCAGGTGGCGCAGTCATGTTTTTGATGGTTCCCGATTACATCTAAAAACTTGAATCTCAGAGGATAAATAAAAATTTGACTTGTCCAGATTTCGAGTTAACAGAATTCCCTGAGTCACGGAGTCACAAAACACATCCATGAAATATGTACGTAATCTTAAAGTCTATGGTGTTCTACCTACCCAAGCAGTCGCTACATATCCAAATTTCCCATGCGCGTATAGCCATTCGCTGAAAAGACTTAATCGTCCAAGGTGCCCCTTGACCTGCCACTATGCGCTGCAGTCACGCCACCATGTTTGTCCTTCTTTTCTCAGTGCCGTATCACAACTGACGTGTCTCTAGACATCTTTGAGTTTTTCGAGTTCCGTTTTCTCTACACAGTCCTGTGTTGACTTGAGTCATCCGGTCGTCTTTCCTGAATGAACTTTTACCTTGTGTGATTTTAATCACGTTTTTTTTTTATTGTTTTATTAACCTAAAGATTTCTTTCTACTATTATACAAAATTCAACCACTTCAATAGTGTACCTTCATGTGATAGAACTGTCATCTTTTCGCTGATCGTATTCAGCGTGATATGCCAGGGTTTTTCCACGTGGGTTTACCGATGACAACACTTTCTGTCATCATGTGGTTATCAGAAAGAGTCAGCGATTGGATTGTCCATGAATGGGTCTGTGGTAGCAGTCAGGCTAGCCTGAAAACAGGGTTTGAACAATCGCGGTAGTGCATGCAATGCGTGTGTGTGACATGCCACGTGCAGCATGCATTCAACACATGCGGTTCCATACGATGATTCGTACAAGGGGTTGCGGCAAATTTTTCATATCTGAAGCGATTTGGCATCACAGAAACCTTGAGATAACCAGATGTATTGCAGTGGACAGTTACAGAGGTATTTTTTTTATATAAAAGCCTATTCTTTTGGCAAGAAATAGCTGGCCTACGAGATAAAATGATCTTTCGACTACTGGACAAAGGGCAAGAACTGATGCATGGCCTGTGCAGGACCACCATCCAGCCCACTAAAGTATTAAATTTGAGGACTTAAAACTCACTTTTTATGGTGACATTCATTCGCCTTTTGCCTGCATTTTTTAGGACTGTTCATGCTGTATTGGCACTTCAGCACACAGCTCAATGAACTTTGTGGCTCTATTGTCAGCACTGTGGTGCGGCTTACACGCTGATGCAGCTTATACGCCGACTTTAAATCTTGATTTGCCAATTTTGCGTGCTGCGGTTTATACACCAGGTGGCTTATATTCCGAAAATTATAGTAGACATTTTTATTGAAAAGGTTCTGCTTTCAGTCCTTTCATAAAATTCCATGTTCTTTTTTCATTTGCAACTTTCCTCATGAAGATTGTTCAACCAAAAACTGTAACAAATCTGGGTCTGTTTGACAGCCGTATGTGAGTTCCTCTTGATTTAGGTATTTGACTTTGGTGTGAAATGCTAAGAATGGTTCTGTACAATAGCATGTAAAACCACACAATACAGTCTATTGAAAAGACATACAAACAAGAGTTTGGAAGCGGTGCGTAGTAATGTTTTTAACAGTGCTCCAGGCACAATACAAGGAAATCTAAATAACACCCCAGTGCGCAGTATAAATAGCGGAAATATATGGAGGCCTGCCAAAAAAAAGCAAAGTAAAAAATGAAAGTGACATGAACTGTGAAAGCTTGATCACACGCTTAATAACCCTGGTACTATCCATGCACAGGATGCACATTGTAACCTAAGCAGAAAGCAGGAAATTCTGATTGAGAAAAGTGGCCGGTTTCTTAAATGCCCATTTCCCCTCGCAGCATAGGCACACACACACAGTTGGCAGTGTACACTCTGATGGCTGGTCTGCCACAACCAACCTCTTTGTCTAGACAATTCCCTGCTAATGGATGGCGTAGACCATCGATTTCAACCACGACTGTCGTGGGGGAAAAAAACACAACAAAGAAAATATTTGCAAACCAGCAGTGGTAATTGTGTTGGGAGTGGGATTTTCTTGGAGGAAAACTAAAATGAATCGCTGGCCTTTTTTTTAAAAAGACTGTTGGAGGAAGGTCGTTGCCTGGCACAAGTACAGCACAGCAGTTAATTTTGTTCAAGGATAGCAGTCTGCCAACAAGAGGCATGCATGTACTTCGCTTGAGTAATCCGTGATTAGGTCAGGAGTTTCCCTTTCACCAAGCTGGCTGCTCTAGAAGCAAGAGTTTCCGATTTTTGAATCCTACCAGAGTAGCAGTTGATATCCTCCATTTGAAGAGACAAGTGGAAGGCAACTCTGGATTTAGGCATCAGCGATGCAGTGTTCTCCCCTCACTCGTAATCGTCACCGGTGGCCTGTCTGCAATTGGCTGACAATCTCTGTCCTGGATATCTGATTCTGAATGGTACCATACCTTTGTCTCCCTCTATCCCCCTTCCCTCCGTCCCCACTCCATCCAGGCTCAGCTGATTGCCCAGACCATTGGCCAGGCCTTTGCCATGGCCTATCTGGAGTTCCTGAAGGCCAACGGCATCGAGGACCATCATGTCAATGAGCTGGACTACCATGATGTGCTCAACTCCCAGGAGATATATGGCGATGACCTCATGCTCTTCTCCAACAAGGAGTGTGAGAAGGAGGTAAGGTGTACTCTCAGATTGACATGTCCTGTCTAAAAAAATAAAAGACATGCTTTTTTATTTTATTTTATTTTTTTTTTTTTTGCTTTTTTTTCCCCCCAAGAACAGTGTACATGTAAATGCTGGATTGAATGTCAGTGTCTGTGTTGTGCATCCATGTTTCCATAGACATACTGAGACATTGATCTCATCAACTCAGTGGTAAAGGAACTGCGTAGGAAATGTAGATCTGTCTAATATTGCACTGTCTGTATGGGTGGCCACCTTTTGTAGAAATTTCACCCTCGGTTTGGGCCACAAATTGTGCATTTGGAAAGGGCCATGCCTTCCTATTAACACTTGGTGGATTATACTTGGGCTGAAGTGTATTGACAGCCAGCCAATGGTTGAACACCAGCCTGTTGTTGGCAAAAAAATAACACTCTGATGTCAAAAGAAAGAGGTCCATCGGTTGTACGTGTATTCCTAAGTTGACTACGTGCTGTGTCTTGGCATTGAAGTTTAGTTCCTAATGTTACCAGCTTTGTGGACTGCAGCATGTTTGCTCTCGACTTTCAGTTTAGAGACTCGAGTTTAAACAGCGGGAGTTTATTCACAATAAGATGATGTGTTTTCCAGCTGAATTTATATCCTTCGGATACCTGAATCAGTTTGTTTTTATTTCTCAGTAAAATGGCATTACCAAGGAGCCTCTGAGAATAGCTTGAACCTCTAAAAGAGCCAAAGCTGTGCCCGAAGGCTGACAAATTGCCATCATTATGCCAAATACCCTGGAAACAAAAATAGATGAGTTTCCCGGGGAGTGAAGACAACTAGAAGCTTTGAGGATATGTCATCTGATACATGTCCGAAGGCAACTGAATACTCCTGTGTGGACACATTTAGTAGTCCAGGCACGCACGCCCTGGAGATGGATTTGGGCACCTGCACTGAAAATTCATCCAGCCGAGACTTTACTTACACAGTAATTGAAATGTACCCAATAAGTACAATGTACATTGTGCTGTGGGGAGTCTAACTTGATTGTTTGGTGTAAAAAGCCCCTGAGAATATGTTGCATGAATAACGAGCCCCCTGTAAGTTACTGTTCACTCGGAGGTGCCATTCATAACAATGTGATGCAGGACATGATGTGTTTGCAACACTGGACCCGGCTAGCTTGTGCAGGTGAGAATTATTATAGCGTAACCCAAATGCAGACCTGAAGAAACACTTGTTATTTCTGTGTTCAAATACTTTAGGTCCTGATTGAGAAGGAGCGGGGTGAGATCATGGGCGTGGTCATTGTGGAGTCTGGGTGGGGCTCGCTCATCCCCACCGTGGTCATAGCCAATATGTCCCAGTTTGGGGCAGCGGCTCGCTCGGGCAAGCTCAACATAGGTGACCAGGTCATGTCCATCAACGGCACCAGCCTAGTGGGCCTACCCCTGGCACAGTGCCAACAGATGATCAAGGTGAGGGGTCAGCTGTAAATCAGCTGGTTTCCTGTGCGTTCTGCACGTACTTCCCATCCATGCCAATACAGACTGAGTAGTATACACGAAGTCTTGTGCAGCCAGTGACTTTCTATTTCTCCTGCTAGCAATTATTGTAGTTTTTTCCCCAGTCCCCAAATAAATGGAAATATTAGATGAAGTCACAAAAATTAGGCAGAAAAACCAAGGCAGCGTTAGTGGAGTTACATGTGACAGAATGCAAGTGTTTAAGTACATGGATGGCATGGTGATGAAAGAAGTACATCAATATTTGGGGGAGGGGCTCACATTAGGACCAGAAAACAGCGGTGCTTACCAGTTGCATACCCGGTACCTGTGTCTAGAGGTGCTCTCATGCCTGTAACACATGGCTGTAGTCTTGGTTGAGCTGAAGTTATAAAAACTGTACACGTAGAGCATGCAATGTGATTCATATACCAAGGATACACCATTGTGGAGCAGTTTGCCGGTGAAACATCCACGAGTAATAAATGTGGCATTCTTCACCTCTAGAGGGGGTAGTTGCATCATATTTCGTCTGTAGGACCCCAAGTTTGCTTCTGGGGGCTACAGTTGTTACCAATTGCCTCGTCGAATTTGTCGAATTTTTCTAGTCACCAGTCAGGTGCAGACTTCACTCCAGCTTTTAGGGCACTCACTCAAGGATTGAACATGTCTTCATATTCCCATTGTTGCATGTCTAATTCTGGTTTGTCCTGTCTTTTGCCACCTGCTGCAGTCTTTGAAGAGCCAGAGCCTGGCCAAGTTCAACATTGTCTCCTGTCCACCAGTAACCCAAGTTCTCATCAAGAGACCAGACACCAAGTACCAGCTGGGATTCAGCGTGCAGAATGGCATCGTAAGTCTGTGTGCAAATCGTGGGTCAAGCACCGTGGTGGAAATCTTCCATTTGTCCGAAGTCTTGTACCCAGCCATAGCTACCCAATTCAGACACATCTGGTATCCAAAAAGATAGTGGACATTGTTAGAGTTATGATTAGGAGTGTGCATTTGCGGGTATTTTTAGAACCGGGTACCCGTTTTTTGTTAACATCGGGTACCCGGAAAAGAGATCGCCTAATAACAAATGGCATTGCGCGCGAACCGGTGGATCATGCACCCGAAACACGGTTCTTTTTGGTACATAGGAAGCAAGCAGAACATTGTTCTAAACGTCGGAGTTAATCTCTCGTACCTTTTTATCAAACGAAATTGTTACCTTCA